AAATAACGAATGCAGTCTCTGAATGAAAAATCTATTTTTTTTAACGCTGTAGTAAGATCTAAAGAACCAAGAAAAGTTTTATCTTTCTTTCTATTTACATTCTCACTACTTTTTTTTCTGCATATGTGCATAAAGGATTTCTTCCCTCTAACTTTTGTACCTTTTTCTCAAACTAAAATACTTAGCAACTGAAGGAATAAAGCTGTGGAGCATCAAAAGCACATCAAGTTCATTCAGAAAAGGCTTGGCATTTTGCAAACATAAAATTCACACAAATCATTATAATAAGGTACTTAACTTTTTATATCGGTAAATGTATCCTTTTACTTTCCTCTGTATTTTCACCTTTCCTTTTTCTAATCTAGTTTTTCTAGTGACTACCCAATATTTATTTAAGTTTATTTAAGTCCTTATTATAAAATCAATTTACTTCACAGGATGGAGCTATTAAAGACCTATTAAGGATCTGAAGTGCAGCTGAATCACTGGGTCTCACTGCAAGTGTCCTATCTGTGATTTACTTCCATGGTTTAAAAGAAATCCATGTATTTCAGCACAGATGATTATTCATTTTAAGCTGTRTCCTGTGCTGTGTTTGAGACTGAACTTACTATATCATCTGTGTAAGATCCTATTAATTTCCAATAATAATAAACCAGAAAAAAAAAAGGCCTATGTATATATATGTAAAGCGTTCATGCATGCACATACATGCATGCAAATAGGTATGTGACCCAATCTCCATGAGATCTAAAACCTGCTTCTAAAAAGGACTAAGAGGTAGAATGCTAAGATTTACAAGACAGCAGTGCAATCTATATGGAATTAGTCGCTTCCAWGGGAATACACACATGAATGATACAAAACCAAAAACAAACACAGACATCCTGTACCATGAGATTTTGGGACAATCTAAGTTATACTTTTTTCTGAGTGCTCCTCAGCTCACGGAAAGCTCTTGGGCACAACTACCTTCCTGAATGTTTGGAGAGCTCGCACACTGGAGTCTACACTGTCATGGCCTGAGAAACCAGCTGAGTGCATTTGACTTAAATCTTCCTACATCAGTAGAAGAGATCAGAGTCTATCTTCTCACAAACACACTTTCGCTGATAAGGAGTAAGCCACAACTCGATTAATATGAATTCTATCATTAAGGACAGTCTTAGCAGTGGCTTATCAGYGTGCAAAGAATTCCAGCAGGGAAAATCTGTAAAGGAGGTGGTCCAAGGCTGTTGCAATGAGCAGCTAGTCTTCCAGAGCTACTTACCAGTAGGCAATCACTTCTGGGCTTTGCTGCTTATAAGCACACTTATATTTTTGGTGCGTGTATGTGTAGTTTATTCGTGCCCCCTTACTGAATCCCTTGCTACTGCTAAAGTGCTAAAATACATCTATTCTCTTCCCAGAAGCCATTCAATACCTAGAAAAAAAGGGCTAAGGTTCAGACCTAGAGTTCACCTGAATTCTGAATATGGGTAGGACTGCTATCATAACCAGCATGTCCTAGGAATAAACTGCTATTTAACTTTAATACTAAATATCCAGCTAACACTTTCCCAGCACAAGTAGCTCCACAACAAGCTTTTTGATTTATGTAGCACAGCATGAGCTTATTGTCCCTCACCCTTTGAACAGAACGTCTCAAGCACCAGYATGGAGAGAAGACCCCATCAAGAGAAAATAATGAGGTCTTTAGTTGTTAAATTTAGTCAAATAATACTATGTTCTCCCCTGACCCAACCCTTTTCATTCCCAATAGTATCAAAATTTCAAATAGAGATATTCTGGCTCTACCAGACCTGTGTTATTCTCTCATTTCTCATCGTTCAGTAAGGGCAGGTCATCCCTGCAAGACCCAGTATATAAAGTCAAGATGTTTAACAGCTGCCCTGCAAAAGAGGATCTCACTGATAGGCACAAATATACCATACTTGCATATGTATAATTCATAGGAAAAACAATGACACTTGAAAAAAAAAAAAAAAACTTAAGACAGCACAATGACTGAAGAGACCTGCAAAGAGCGAGCAGATAAACCAGGGAAGTTAATGGCACCAGCCTTTCTTTCTAGTTCTCCCTTTCTATCTCTAATCCCTTTCCTACAGCAATTCTTTCTTACCACTTGTACGTAACTAGAACTATAGAAGACGCTAAACACAGGCCTACATTTTAAAAGTTGGAGGTGTAGACTACCCTCCACTTCAATCTGACTGCTCCCTTGCTGTCCTACACCTCCTGTATGGACCTGATCGTGAAGACAGGCCAAGCGCCAATCCAGTGAAGGCCAAAGAGAAGGAACCAAGGTCTCAGCAGGTCATCTGCTAGGTCTTCAGGTAAAAGAAAACAAATATGCGGCCTTAAGCATGCTTCACACAGCACTTCTGTTGAATTGTATATATTGCTCATTGTATATGAACAATAAAGTTCATATATATATACTTACTTAAACAGCAATTTACTTCTTAAGAATTTCAGCATTTTGCTTCCTTGGCTTTACCAAAACTAAAGAGGGCCATACTAAATGCAATCTTAGTATAAAAAAAACAAGAATTTWAAATTTTCAACCTGACTCCAAGCAGTGGAAATTTGCAGAGAATAGTTCATATAATTACAGAGCTAAAACAGGTGCCTGAAAATGGAAGGTTGATGGGGTCTTTTTAAAGACTTGTGCACTGCTTATTAACATCTTCTGACATTCCCCGTTGAGCCTTTTTGTGTAGGCACAATTTCCTTTGGAACAAACACATCTACATGTGCCTAATCCTACACAGCAATATAGTCTTGACTTTGACCACTTGTCTTAGTATGCACAAATAAATACACGTGAAAAATGAATATTAAGACATCTATAAATAAATCCRGATCATTTCTGAATACACATACCATCCGTCAGCAGTGAACTTGATTTCAAAATACAATGCACATTCATTGCATCCTTCACATTAATTTTTTGAACTAAAAATGTACAGACCTATTACACTCTATTTTTTTTTATTTTATTGCTTGTTATGCAAGTGCTGAAGCATTTATTATAATTAAGAGATGCCATTTTTCTCCAAAGTGATGTTAGCATTCTGATGCAATTAGCTTATACCATAGAGATGGACTTTACCTCTCTTAACTTTTATATTTGACTTTTGGACATTCTAATCTCAATAAGCCACCAAAAGAGCCCTTTATCAGTCAGGTGAGGAAATAAATTCCTCAGGAGGTGATTTGTCTCCCCTAACTAATTTTAGGTTGAAATGAATCACCCTTTGGAGATGCTCATTTCCTTCTCCCCATTTGTATACATATATAGCAAAATGAAACTTGAGGTACAACCTGTTACATATTGTTCAAAACACACAAAATCCCATCACAAGGTACAATGCTTTTCAAACATCCAAATTGTTAACACAGGCATGTACTACAGCAGCTTGACTTCATGAAGGGTCCTTGATTTAGCAAAGTTCAGATCAGGTTGGAAAATTGGAAGCTGGAACTATAAACTTCCGAGATATCAAAAGTCAACCAATCAATGGTAATTAAGCTGGCAACATTTTTTTGAATTCAGAAGCTCAAATCTGGATTTAATCATGAGCTCATTTTGGAAATGTTTAATAGGAAAAATGCATGCAGCACGCCAGCATCACTTTGTGCCTAAAAATGATTTTTTTGGTATAACAAAATATTTGCTTTGCAAACGACAAAAGGGAGAGCAATTTGAGCAAGAAATCATTAAATTACATAATAGGAACTATGTGACCAGGTGGCATAATCAAGATGAGCAAATCTTAAGCAGCAAGCAAGAAATTCACATCCACGGCTAGCTCCAATTCCAAAACACTGAAATACTGGATATATACCCATGGCTCAAGTACAAACTTCATGTAATACGCAATAAGAGCTCAGGAAGAAGGCAAAGCATTAAAGGATGCTCAATGTGATTCTGTGATGTGCAAGAAATGGCTCTCCAACACGAAGGGCCAAAGTGTGCCGGCTGCTGGAGGTCAAACCAAGGAGCCATCAAAGACCCAGTCGCTGTCGTGGAAATGGAWGTGCAGCTGTGAGCTCCAGCGGGAAAAAGCAATTTATTCCCCGTGCAGATCCCGTTCTTGCTGGCAGCAGGAAGGGCTATGAGCGTGCACGGGCTCAGCGCCCTTCCCCAAGCAAGAGGCTGCAGGTTGCGTTGCCTCTGGATACCCATGGGATATGAGCTGAGCCCAACGGGAAAGGATGAATGTGGAACCTGCCCTGCGTGACAGCAAGGGGAAGTGCAAGCAGGAGCTATTATGCTTCCCAAACTAGAGGTGGCATAATATATTGCTGTTCTGAATGCAAAACTTCCCTAAAATACACCATCAGGGTCCTGTCACGGTAAGTTCTGCAGTGTAAAATCCTTCCACTGATTTCTTAATAGATGGTGTTGAATTTGAATTTAAAATAGTGGAGAAGTTCACATTTTAGAACCGTTTTTCATGGGCAAGATTCAAAAGAGCCTAATTGTCTTCATAACCTTTTCAGTGATTTCTAATTATTTATATTCGTTTCCACTGGCTTTCAGTATATAAAATTATTCACTCCTTCTGCATTGTCCTTGACACAAAATGAAGACCTTGAATATTAAAAATATTAGAAAATAAATATGAAGCAAATATTATTATATCACACACAAAAATATATTTTTTAAAAAATCACCAGTTAAGTCTTCAGGTGACTATGTAGAGGTTTTTATTAAGAAGCAAAGCTTTTTGCAAATAATTATGCCAGCTTTATTCCACAGACACCACACAAATAGAGCATATAACCATCAGAAAACTGAATATCCCCTCGCAAGCCTAACAGTGGCTTCTTAAAATTACGAGATCAGAATGTCATCCTCAGTTGATGGGATCTCATTGCTTTTAAAAACAGCCTGGTTAGGAATTACTGGATTGTGAAAATTTGGTCAGGAAAATTCCAAGTTGTTTCAAGGAGCTTCAGTGTAAAGGCTATTTTGCCACGTGTATTCTTACCAAATTTATCAGCTGAGTGTGGACAATGTCTTCCACCAATATTGCAGTTTCATGCAGTGGCCTGCGAGCATCTCCCAAGGAAAACCTGAAAGAAAATGGTTTATTACAAGGTTATGAAAATGATTTAAAAAAGCAACAAAGTAGGTGGTCTCATGTAAAATTAAGAAAGAAAAAATAAACAATAAAAAATGCAAGTGTTATACACCTGTGTACCATGTGGAATGGATCATTCAGTGTAGTGTTTGGAATATAAATCAAAGTAACAGTATTATACACGGTGAGAAAACTTGAAAATTGGAGGAAGACAGGAAAATCGAGTTTTCAGGCATATTTTAAAAAGCACCTGCATGATCAGGAGTAATTCTGCATTTGAAGTCCACTTCCGATGTAAAATTACCAAATAATTATGTTAAAAGGTAAAACAACAACAGCTTTTATCCCAAATCTAAATGTAGATGGTGATAAGATATAGAAGGAACTGCCATAAATTAAAGGAAACAAAGTTACACAAAATATTATGAGATGTGTCTAACGGCTCCATTGTGAGATTGAACTGATTGATGGTCATAAAAAGATGACAGTGCTCATAAAATACTAGAGTAGAATATAGAATATTATAGAATGAAGAATATAGAATATAGAATATTATAGTAGAATATTAGAATATTCTAATTTTAGAATAATAGTATGAAATGTCCAAGGCATCTAGGTGGGACTGACAGATACTTCTTGTTGGTAGCCAGCATTCTTCCACCGGGCAGCTGAAGGTCCAATGAAGGATATTTTGTGCCCAAAATGACTGTAAATACCTGTATTTGGGCACTTAAACGCCAATAAATGCTACCTGCCTCAGCTGACCACTATCTGTTCTGTACTTCCACCCCCCAACATAGCAGAAATTYGGTATTCTAGGATTAAAGGTATGCTTCTTGGTTGGAAACCTATCTCAATAACTTCTCACACAGGATGTGTGAAATATCATGCTGAAATTCTGCATTAGGACATGAACAAGAGTGATGTAGAAATTGAAGGCACTGCTTGATTTCTAGGTGCACCTACTAGCTTCCTCTCTCACACTTTTTCTACCTCTTGAAGCTCTTTGTAAATCTCTGGTTTCCCTTGTAACTTCTGCCAGCTTCTTTCCTACACCCAGAAAACTAGATACTGGACTGGTGGTTTCAAAAAAACCCACCACAGTCACTTCCTTTTTCTTTGCAATGATATCAAATTTTTAGACACTAAAAAAAAAAAACGTGAAGCCAGTGATATTGGTCTGGTGTTTGTTTTCTCCCAGCTCCAGATTTTAATTGGTTTATAGGATAATGTACTTCAGGATATCAAATGGGAACTTCTTTGCCTCTTTCTGCTACTGGAAATAACACTGTATTGAGGTAAAATCCCCAAAAGCACAAAGAGCAAAGCAGAAATCTCTTCAATTCTTTCATCACTTTTGCCATTGTACTTCTTCATTGCAGAGCAAGCATTAAGAGCTGGGGGCTCCAATTTTTGCCAGGTTGTAGAATATGAATTAGGTTAAGAACCCAAAGTAAACCCTAAAAAAACAAACAGAAAGATGGTGGCCTTGCTTTTGAGGGCTGAAATGGAACTTAATGTTTTAATATAACTTATGAATTTCATTTATGTTTTGCTTTTAATGGTTGATTACAAGTTCGTAAGAGAACCTCCAACTTGCTAGAAGTTATAAATATCTTCCTAAAAAACATGAAAATGCTGCTGAAAATAGGAAAGCGCTGTTGCTCTGTAGGTGAATACTGCGGAAGAAATACATCAAAATGGTGCATCAGCGGTGCATCAGAACAGTAATACGATACAGAAAACGGTCTTGATAATAGAAGAGACTTGTCAAATCCATCACTGTGCATCTTAGCATTACTCAGGTTGTGCAATAACAAAGTTTCCCTAGATGATCAAATTTCAAAGGTTTGTGTATTTTACTAAAAAGTTTTTACAAGCAGGTGATCAACTTAAAAGGACCTCCACAGGTGAGGAGAAAGATGACTGCTGCACTCTTCCATTGCTTGCTTTCAGCTTCGACTTCTAATTAAATTCCTGCAATGATGTTTCCAGGTGCACCAAAAGGGACAAGCATCCAGTCTCCCAAATCCATGCAAACGTGCAAACACACACATGCAAACACACAGATACACATCTAGGCTTAGCACATGCTAGAGCATATAGAGCAATGCTAGAGTTACTCATGATGTGGAGACCTACATCACGAGYACTTTGAAAGAGAAAATCGTGGGCAGTTACAAAAACAGATAAAGCATTTTTCTTTGTTTCRTTTCTTGGGGTTTTGAAAACTTGCAATAGGTGTGGGGGCCAAGCACAGCAGTGACTTTTCTTGAAAACCTTGATGCAAGAGCTCTCCAGGTGGCCAGACCACCAGGAGAGCAGAGAGAAAGCTGATGCAATCATCTCCCATCCTCCACCAGCTTGAAAAAGTTATCCTGGCCAGAAAGGAAGTCTAACCAGGGTGGCTGGGCACACATTAAGCTCAAATAGTTTCCCTTGCAGGGACTTCTACTGAGTTCATACCATAACAAAGCTGTCCCAACTCATGGAACTTACCACCTTGAATAGATTTGATGAATCTAGCTTAGAAAATAATAATAGTAATAATAATAATAATAAGCAGTGAGGTAGTTGAGGTAGTCTAGTGGGAAATGTACCTTTTTTTTTTTCTAGAAATCTTTAACATTTTTCCTTTTCTGTTACTACATGAGAGGATATGCAGCAGTAGAGATGGTTCCACCAGAACTGAGCTTTTTTATGCACCTGAAGATCCCACATAAAGCAAGCAGAGATTTTTTCTTCCTGCAGGACRGTGGCATTTATTTGTCATTGCCTGCTGGCCTGCCTCATCTCTATTAAACTCCAAGAATCCCCAATGGTGTTTTCCATTGATATATTTGTATTGCACTMAATATTTAGTTCTCCTCTTCTGCGAGATGGGTCTGTATCCATCTATCCGACACAAAAACTTTTTTCCTCTTAAAGGGAAAAGGTGRGAAAAGAAGAGATAGTTGGAAAAAAATCTGAGAAAAGCAAAATAGTATTTTACATAATAGACTGAGTCATAACATATTAAAAGACCAGCTAATGAAATATGAGGGATAAGATACAGCCAAGAGAAGGTACCAAGTCCATTACTAGAAAATTAATGCAGCTGATTCTTCAGAAATAATAGATAATATTTTACTTTCCATAGACACACATAGATCTTTTCTTTGGATGAAAAAAAGCAAAAGTGAAGATGCAGAGGAAGATTAAACTTCAGAATAATTTCATTATGGGGCAAGGTGCCGAATGGATTCTGTTTTCCCAGTTTGTGTTAAAGAGGACAGCTTTGGAAATACATGCAATGTGCCTACAACAGCRTTTTCTGGGAATGATCACTGTTCATAAACAGCTTTTCCCTGGATTCATTCCCAAATTCAACCTTTCCAGTTTTAGATGTCTAAAACTAGGATCTAGTTTCAGGTGCCTAGACTACCTCAATAACAGGAGGAGGACAGAAAACAACTTTTGCCATGCAAGTTCACCATCCTTCAGTCCAAGAGGTACCAAGACCCAAAATCTCTATGTCTCTTGCAATGATGGAAACAGAAGGAAGATACCTACAGATGAAGTAGGATATGAAGTTATTAAAGGCTCATCTCTACGAACGTGGAGTGCAGGGCAACAGGCAGAGGAACCGCAAAGCAAAACGGTCACTTGACCTGGCCCTTCCCGGGACTGTTCCAAGTGAGCAGAAGCCCCAGGGCCTGGGGGACACCCATCAATTAAGGAGTAAGGCTCCCCAGAGCACCTTGCAGACTGAAGAGGGTTTCTGCCCAGGATATGGGATAGAATAAAGGGATGCAGGGAAAAGCACCTTGGGATTGTACAAAACTGACTCTGAGAAGTTATGAAGAAGGACCCTAGGTGGAGTCCACATGCATATGTATGTATTTTTCTGTGTACGCATGTCTGTGAGTGTGTCTACTGGGAGAACACACTCAGCCTCAGTACTGGCAGGACTTGGGACACATAGCTGCAGCAGCATCGCCTCTCCTGTGCTGCCAGACTTGGCAATCCCTAATACAGGACACTGCAGCAGTGAAGAGGTTGCAGATTCAGAAGAGGTGTCTCAAGGCTGGCACGTGGAGAAACATGCACAGAAATATATCAAGGAGAGAACATGATCAATTGAACAGAAAAAAATCAAAGGAGGTTGGAAGATGATTCAGCTTATGCTGATGCATACTGGAAAGCTAGACACAACTTCCATGTAGACAACTACGCTGTGGACATCTAAATTCAAGTGTCTGCATCAGCAAGCTGATTCCCATCCCGCATTTACTAACCAAGCAGCCAAGCACCTAATTCACTGTTGCGAATTGAAAAAACAGGCAAGGATCTCCCCAAAAATCACAGAGGAAGAAACAATTACTAGATATATTTGGGCTGGATAATATCTGGACTCACTTCTCCTCACTATTGCAATAATACACCGCAAATCTCGTCTCTGACAGCTCTTTGGCAGGGATGCCTCTGAAATGCACAGCATCTTAATCCAAAGAGCTCAGATGTTTTCATACTGTAAGTGAGGGTCCTCCTAAGTATATACATGAGAGTTGAGTGTCAGCTTTTGACAGAGAAATTCTGGTTTTTGGCACTTAGCACAAGAACACCCAGAAAACTTACTGSAAATTACTACAAACAAATGAAAACAAACTTTAGAAAATCAGCAATACAGTATTTTGGAGTAATCTGCTTTGGTGCCATATGGGGCTGGTTCTAAAGGTAAACATTTAGAAAAGGAAGTTTAGACCTGGTCCCTAGGATGACAGGGGGAAGGGAAAGTCTAAGTTTCCTTCTGACGAAGGGTGGGAGCAAACCTCTCATTGCAAGAGATGTCATGGAGAAAAGATGACATGGAGATGCTTTCACCTCAAGCAGCCTCAGAAGTCAAAGCCAGCAATTCTCTTTCTCCGTTTTGTCTGCCGTGCCCATTGCTGAACACACTACACACAGATTCTATTTTATGCTAAGATACACTTTATAATAGATGTGAAGTGA